GAGAGTCTCTCCAATCCACAAGGACTTCAGAAACGTCAGCCTCAGAGCCTTAGAAATTTGACTGATACTAGGTCACATGTCTATAGTACTTGGCATTTTACAAAACACTGTCCTCCTAACAATCCTATGAGCTAAGTCATAGAAGTATTACTATTTCCATTTTATAAATAAGGAAACTAAGGCTGCTAGAGATTGACTTGTCTTAGTTACTAGCATGGCTGAGACTTCAAATCTAGTGTTCTTTTGACTGCTCCATGCTGCCTAAGATTCATGTGCTCAGTTAGCTCTCAACACTTAACCAAAGACAGAGCCACAGAAATCTCTGGGCACCTGCCCTCTGAAGATTTAAATGGGCCCAGATGTTAGGCCATCCAGAAGACATAAGAACCTTTTCTAATGTGATTTTCAGCCAGCTTTTAATTAAACAGTCAGACTCATCCTTTAGTCTCATGCAGAAATCACCTTCAACCATATCACAATTTCCAAGAATTTATTCCTAATTTTTTTCTTTCAGGAAAATTACAGGGATTTCTGGACCAGTAATATTCTCCTTTCCCCAAGCTCGCCCTCTTGTTCTGGTACATGCAATTGCTTCTGAAACATCCTTTTGGTACTAAAGAATGTGGTGTGACTGTATAAATCACTTCCCCACCCAGGCTTTCATTTGTCAATGGGGATAATAATACCTGCACTACCTTCTTCATGGGACTTCATTGAGGAAAATACTTTGTCAAGCATAAAGTGCCAAAGGAATGACATTGTTTTATTATTATTACTAAGGTCATTGGCACTTAGCATAGTGCCTAGAACATAGCAAGTGTTTAATAAATCCTTCCCTTCTTTCTTCCTCAAGTGATATTAAATAGGATAGTCTATGAACAACATGAATTGTGCAGTACCAGTGTGATACATATGTCATGTTACCTTACACTATGCTCTCAGAAGGCTAGGACCACACCCTGGGGATGTTTGGTACAGATGTTTCAGGCTTTTAGAACTATGTGGTTTTTCTGTATGTCTATGCTATCATCCCTGACTGCATCTCATAGAGACAGATGAAATCACACACACACACACACACACACACACACACACACACACACACACACATCTATTTATTCCAGTTTGGCTTTGGGACAGCATGACGTAAGGAACAGAACACTGGCTGCTGGTCCGAGAATGAAAAGACTGAGTTTCTAATCCTGGTCCTGCCACAAAATAGTGTTACTCTATGCAAATCATTTTGCTATTCTGTAAAATGAGCTAACATCCCATGTCCAAAAGTTAATAAAACTCGTTCAAAGCTGGATGAAAATGACCTGAATGCTTAACTAAATGCCTCACCCAGAATCACAGAGCATCCGAGTTGGATGGGACCTCGGTGGCCAATTAGCACAACGGGTACCTGAATAAGAATACCCTGTATTGCTTCCCCAAGTGGTTGCTCAGCCTTTACTTAAAGACCTTCAGTGATAGGGAACCCACTACCTCCTGGGGCAGTCTATTCCATTTTGGGACCATTTGGATCATTCTAATTGTTAGAAGATTTTCCTCATACCAAGCCTAAGTTTGCACCTAAATTAGTGAAGTCCTGAGCTTTTAATAAGGGATCAGGTGCAGAAGATAAAACAAACAAACAAAATCAACCCTCCACGAAAAACAACAAAACAGCACTAAGACCTTTGGGACACCCTGTATCAGTCCCAGAGTCCCAGTACTCTCAAACCTCAGCTTAGCGGAGTTTCTAACAGCGACATAAAAAAATCCCCCAAAACAAACAAACAAAAAAACCCCACTGCTACCTACCCCCATCTCCTTTTCTCCCTAGGCAGGCTGTGTACACTTCAGACAGTGTCAATAATTGGCATTTGGGTAATATATGACAACCCCAGCCCTAAAATGAAAATCATATAATAAATGTATTGCAAAAATGTTGCAATGAGTAAATACCACTATGCACCCCCAAACACCCATCCCGCCAGTCTCAAGCAGAAGTTTGATGTTGACCCCTCTTCTGGATGAAGGGCAATCATTAGGAGAGGATCCATGGACTTATCTAATCCGTGTGCAATGTAGATTTGCCTGGAATGCTGCTTTGGTGATTGATGAGAAGCACAGGCATTTTGTTTCACCTAAGCCAGAGAAATTCCTATTCCCTGGTCTTACAAAATCACAGAGCTGGAAGGGCTATCAGAGGCCTCCTAGTCAGTCCAGCCTCAACCTGAGAAGGGATGGAGCCACCTGTAACATTCCAAACAAGCAGCTGTTCAGCCTTTGAAGACTTCAGGCAAGGAGGAGGAACCCATTCACTGTTGAGGTGGCTCTAGTTTCAGCTGGCTCTAATTTTTTAAAATAATTAATTTATTTATTTTTAGTTTTCAACATTCACTTCCATAAGATTTTGAGTTTTAAATTTTCTCCTCCTCCTCTTCCCCTCTCCCCAAGATGGCGTGCATAGACTGCTCTAATTTTTAAGAATATTTACCTTACATTAAGAGTTCTAATATTCTATGCTTTCATTCATTTTATCCATTCATTCACTCAACAAGCATTAAGAGCTTACTATTTGCCAAGCATTGTAGGTAGTGGGGATACAAAGACAAAAGTGAATTAGTCCCTGTCCTCAAGGAGCTTACATTCTAGGGATGGGGGAGGGGTGAGAATAGACTATACACAGAAAAGAAAACACAAAACATACACGAAGTTATCTGGGGGATTAGGGGATCACACAGGCCTCCTATAGGAGACGGCATTTGTGCTACATTTTGAAGGAATCTCGGGGTTCTAAGAGGCCAAGACCAGGAGGGAGATGTTCCAGGCATGAAGGACAGTCTGTCACAGGACACAGGAGATGGGATGTCATGTGTGGGGAATGGCAAGTGGGTTAATTTGGCAGGTATGTATGGTACACAAAATGGAGTAATAGAAGTGCAGGCTAGAGGCAGACTGTGATGGGTTTTAAAAGCCAAATAGAAGAATTTTTATTTTATCTTAGAATCTTAGAGGGGGCTTTTTGAGCATAATAATAACTAATAATAACACTGCCTATGTGCCAGGCACTGTGCTAAGCACTTTACCATTACTATTTTAATTGATCATCACAAGAACCCCAGGAGGTAGTTGCTATTATTATTATTCCCATTTTTACAGATGAGGAAACTGAGGCAGAGAGAGGTCAAGTGACTTGCCCAGGCTCACAGAACTAGTAAGTGTCTGAGGTTGGATTTGAACTCAGGTATTCCTGATTCCAGGCCCGGAGGTCTATCCACTGATCCACCTAGCTGCCCTCTGGGTATGACAGTGACATGGTCACACTTATGTGTGACCTTAGGGTCCCTTTCATTAGGTTCATTTCTATAAGGCTATGTGATTATAAGACTCTTCCCTGCAAAGGCCACTCTGGCAAAGGCAATGTGCTCCCTGCATAGAACAGCATGAGATCTGTGTAATTTATAGTCCTCCAGCCCTATGCTTCACAAACCATGAAGTGACTGGGGCTTGGCTCCCACATCTGGTTGAATAATTTTCCTTGGCAAGCTTTGTTGCAGGTTTCACCACCATTCATGAGATTTCTAAGAGTTTGACTCATGCCTTGTTTGGGTTTGGCTTGGCTATCACCCACCCTGGCTTAGCTGCAGCACACAATAATTAGCCTGCTGGAGAGCAGAAGAGCTGTCTACCAAGTGCCTGAATCCTTGACAGCCATTGTCACCCCGAAGACATTGCCTTTCTTCTCTCTTTTTCTTAATTTCTTTGTCTTCCTTTGTCATTCTTTATTTCTTCTCTCTTTCTGGCTTTGTTGCTTCCTCTCTCCCTTTACCCTCCCTTCCTCCTCCTTCTTTCTTCTACTTCTCCCTTCCTCCCTTTCTCCCTCCCTCTCCTCTCTCTGTCTCTGTCTCTGTCTCTGTCTCTCTCCCTAGCCCAGGAGCTACTTATAAAAATAACGATAATCCTGCACTACCACCTGCTCTTCCTGCTACTGGGAGTTTTGACATTACCAAATCACTTTCAAGCCAGGCTGCGGAGTGCTTCTCGATGTTACTTAACTTAAGTACATTCCTACATCTACAATGCAGATGTTTTCTTTTCAATCAACTTAGTTACGATAGCTGTTTTCCTAGAAACAGGGACTGTCAGAGCTAGGAAGGCCCTTAGAACACTGAAAAACAATGCCAGAGAAAGAAGGGATCTTAGAGGAGAGAATGTTAAAGCTGAGGAGTGGGGCTGTACAAACTACGTATACTCTAAAACTCTACTTTACTGATGAAGAAATTGAAGCCTAGAGGAGGGAACTGATTTGCTCAAGGTCATTCAGTGAGTGTCAGAACAGGGACTAGAACCCAAGTCCTCCGACTCTCAGTCCTTCCACATCATGCTGAATTCGAGGTCGTTGTTATTGACACCTCAGAAACATCATCACTGTTGAAAAATGCTAGGAAGCAGGTACTGCTTAGAAAAGACGACTAGAACCTAAGATGTTCCAATGAGGCAAAACTGTTCCTTATACATGGACATGCCTAATAACTGCTCAACAGATGCCTGCCATTCTCAGATTCATCCCAAACACACACACATCTGCTGCCTTGGAGATCAGAACCTCAAAACACGCCTTGCAACCCATGTGATAGTGAACCTTGGTGAACCCGTTCAAAAAACTGACCTTATCCATGAATCACAAATAACAAACTCACATTTCTATGGCACTGTATGGTTTCCAAATACTTAGCAATAACCCTGAGGTAGACAGTACCACTATTATTGTCTCCATTTTATAGTAAGAAACTGAGGCTCAGAAAGGTTAATGTTAGTGGAGGAGTCCAGTCTTGAGAGCTCAGTTCTTTGGATTCCAAATCCAAGGTCCTTTCCACTAGGCCATGCTGCCTGCCTTTCCAAGATGAATGAGTGAATTAGAGCCCGCAAAGAAACCCTCCTGGGTCAGACTGAAAGAGGTGGCTGCCTCCCTAGCAGTTATCCATTGGAGAAGTTTTCATCACACTTACCTGCCATGTCTCTCCAGCCTCTGCTTCGCCTCTGTGCTCCTCTTGGAATGGTTGAGGTACTGTGCCAGGAGACAGGGCTGCTCCTGACTGCCTTACCATTTATAGAAGCCGCTCCTACACACACCAATTAGAATTATAACCAGGTGGGTGAGGCACCAGGTCATTCCTGTAGTGCCTGTAGCCTTCACTTACGACATACCTATCACCTACAGAAAGGCCACTATACTTAAGAAAGATACAAAAAGTAACTGGGAGAAAAAGCAGAGAGGAGGGGTCAGATAGCTGGACTTTTTTTTTCTTTTTAAAGAAAGAAAAGCAATTTCAGGATCTGAATCCTGGGATTTAGTGTATAACACCCTCTTCTTCTCTATAAAGGACCTTCCCAGGCCTGTGGCAAGGGGCCAGACAGTGTATGAGTAAACCTTGCAAACCAGAAAAGGCAAAGACCTCTTTCTCTTTCCTATATACTTATGCATGGGAACACAAGATCCTGAGAACAGGAAAGGCACTTAGAAATTAGCTTGTTCAATTCCCTCACTGAATAAGCAGGGAAATCAGTTCTAGGAAGGGAAGTGTGTGCTCACAGTCAGACAGTAGGTGGGTGGAAGGGACAAGGACCAGCAGGATCCCAGTTCTCAGGCTAAGCGCTCTTTCCACTGAATCAGATTAGGTTTTTATTGGTAAAAGGGCCATGATTCTACCTCATTCTTACAGAATCAGGATGGCCTAGTAGTTAGAGAGCAAACTTCAAAGTCAGAAAGACCTGAGTTCAAGGCCTACCTCTGACACATACAAGCAACATACAATACAATACAATACATACAATATAACATACAAGCAATACATACAATAACCTGGGTGAATCCCTTAACCTCTCAGTGTCCCCAGATAACCCTCTAAAACTAAACTGCAGAACAATCAGAATGACCTCCCTATGAGTTCCTTGAACTGATGAATGTAGTCTAGCTTTTTTTAAAAAGTTTAATCTTTCAGGATGTTGCACGTCCTTTCTTTGCAGCCTAGTGGTGAACACTCCTACTCATCAGCCCCTACTAGAGGGCAGGAAGACTGGAATTGACAGTGAGATTTCTCCTGCTCCATGTGGAGAATACATTACCTTGCCAGGTCAGAAGTTACATTAAAAATGTATATCTTAGTATAGAAATCTAGCCTGCCCTACAGGAAAATTGAAGGGGAAGGGGATAAGAGAAGGGGGGGGAGAGATAGAAGGAAGGGCAGATTAGGGTAAGGGGTATTCAGAATGCATGCCATCTTGGGGTGGGAGGAGAGACGAGATAGGGAGAAAATTTGGAACTCAAAATCTTGTGGAAGTGAATGTTGAAATCTAAAAATACATTTAAAAAAAGAAAAAAATTATATCCTACTATGTTATATAACTGGAAGGGACCTTAAAACATGAATGTCATGGCAGGCTGGCAGAAATAGTAAGATGTCGAATGTCAGAGCTGGAAGGGACCTTACATCACTAAAAATGCCCAGACCTAGAAGAGACTTTAGAACAGACTGCTGGAATTAGAAGGGACTACAGAACATAGAAGGTTGGAGCTGGAAGGGACCTCAGATGTCAGGGCTAGAAGGAATCCCAGAGCAGTGGATGACAGAGATGAAAGTGATTTCATAACACAGAATACAGAATGTCAGAGCTGGACGGGTTTTAGAAATAATCTGACCAACTTCAGTTGACAGGAGGAAAGTGATGCCTGGAGAAGCGAGGAGACTTGCTCTAGTTCACAAAGTTAGGCAGTAGCAGGTGAGAACTGAACTCAGATCTCCTCTTCCTAGTTCTCAGATCTAGCTGCTGGCTGGCGACTTGGTCCAGTTACAGTAAGAAGGCTCTGCACACACACACAAGGCAGAGCGTGGCCCTGCGTTTGTCCAGGCAGATGGCCAGGGAGATAGTATGGGTTGGCATGGGAGCACAGTGTGTCTAGGCCCTACGGAGCACAGTTCACTGGGGTGCCCTATGGAAGCTCTAAGGAAGCAACATCTTGAGAAAAAGATCCTGGGGAAGTTGTGGTTCCTTTAGGAAACACATACTTATAGTAACTATATATTTTGCTGAGAAACCACAGGTGTTCAGGAAGAAATGCCTTCATATATGTAGTACATACAGCACTATAGTTATTAAGTGTTTCATAGGTATTACTCATAGAATCTCAGACTTCCTCTTTTGAAAGAGGACGACGTAGCTGTGAGAGGCCAAGTGGGTTACCTGGAGTCATAGTATGATTTAGTGGCAGCGCCAGAATTCAAACCTCGGTCTAGGGTTCTTTCTGCTACTCCACTAAGGGACCTAACATGTGGGACCTGCCCGATTGATTCTTCTGGAGAGCTGCCTTTACTGGGGAGGATTTGTAGTTGAACCCTATAACCTGAGAATGAGCTTTCCTCACTCCTTCCAGATTAGACCTCAGCTCTGATTCTCTGCTCTCAGTTAGCTTCCTGTGTAATTAATGAGCATGCAGAGATTCTGGGCCACAATAAGAACGCGCATCTCCTGGGCTCCAGTATCATGAGTCCTTTTAATATTTTTAACCCAAGATTGCCCCACCATAGGGAGCCAGAGCCCAGGCCTGCAGGATGACAACTGTAATTGGCACAAGGTTGTGTCACAATTTCAGGGTAAATGATTTTAAATTCATAGGTGGAGTCATCTGTCTGTAAGCCTCATGGATTTCCTGCTTGGCCACGCTCTATAACAGAGACATTAGAAAAACCAGATAGATGGAGGTTAATGTGGGTTTTTTTAAGGAGAGGTCAATTAATCACTTATACTTTTCCCTCTCTAATTGAGAAATTGAGCCTTTGCAATGGCTTCCTCAGCAGGTGTAATAACTGGAAAAGGGGACTATTCAGCTAGATATCTTTTCCTTTTACCCTCTTGCTGAGTTGAGTTCAAGATGAAGGTAAGGCTTGGGCTACAGCCGGGAAGGAACAGCAGTGGCCTTGATAATAACAGTTCATATTTATATAGCATGTTAAGATTTATAAAGTTTGTCACAACTACCCAAGAAGGAGGTTGTATAAGTATTATTACCCATTTTACAGATGAGAAAACCGAGACTGAGGTGTTAACTGATTTGCCTATGATCATTCAGCTAGCAGCCATCCTGGCCCCAATTCTAACCTAGTTTACTGAATCCAAATCCATTGGTTTTTCTACTGTACTAGGCTGCCTTGGTGAAGGGTTATCTCCTCTCCTAAAAAATACTCTTCAGTTGCTTTCTGTTAATTATAGAAGTCCATACTCCAACTGGGAATTTAAATCCCTCCACAACTGGGTCCAAATTTAACATCTATCCATTCATCCACCGAACGTTTATTAAGCATCTACTATATGTAATATAGCATCGCTGACTTCAAGGAGCTTATAGTATGGTAGGATATCATGCACATATATAATATAATATTTAAATGCTTCAAGAATCTATGATTTATTAAGCATGAATACTCCCACCAATGACCAATCAATAAATAAGCATTAATAAGAAGTTACTATTTGCCAACTTACATTGTTCGAAGGGCTGAGGATACAAACACAAAGCAAAAACAGTCCTTGCCCTCAAGGAGCTTGCATTCTAAAGTTGCAAATTGCAAACCTGCCATCAGTAAGCGGTCAGCAGTTGTTTTGGTCCCCAAATTCATCACTCTGCAGTCAATCTGCTAACAAAGTTTTTCCAAAATTAGCTAGTTTGACCTTCAGACAACAAACAACTATCACTGAGTCCATTGTATTAGTCTAGGTGATGTTGTTCTTTTAAGGTTCAAGAAAGATGCTATTTGGCACAAACACCATAAGGAGTAAATGATTTAATGGAGAAAATAGAGAAAAGAAACAAAGGTATCTGGGAGCCACCAATTATGTAGCCACTTTGCATGATGCAGGTTTGTGTAACAGGGGGATCCCTGCACCATTTGAACAAACTGGGTCAAGACGGAGTGGCTTGCCTCACCCACTGTGTTGCATAGCCCCATTATAGCTTTACTGCAAGAACTAGTCACAAGAGCAATGCTGACTAATCCAGATCCCTAGTTGCAGTAGTGATTGATCAATTTCTAAGGGATGGCCCACTGTGAGCTACATGCTCCCATGCTAACTCCATGATAGGCCCGTGCCAGGATCCTTATTGTTCAGGTGTTTCAGTCATGTCTGACTCTTTGTGAGCCTATTTTGGGTTTTCTTGGCAAAGACACTGTAGTAGTTTGCCATTTGCTTCTCCAGCTCATTTTACAGATGAGGAACGGAGGTAAACAGGGGTAAGTGACTTGCCCAGGGTCACACAGTGAGTACATGTCTGAGGCTGGATTTGAACTCAGGTCTTCCTGACTCCAGGCCCAGTGCTCTATCACCTGCTTAACCTAGCTGCCTGCCACGATTCTTAGGTACATGCGATGATCCCTAAGCTAGTGAATAGGAATGGACTACTTCCATTCTTTTCTCTAGATAGTCAGGAAGATATATGTATAAACTAGTACTTCTCAGTGGTGCTGAATAAGAGGATATACATATGTAAAAAGACATGTAGGATAGAATAAAAAACATGAATAAAATATGAGGTAACATTAAAGAAGATACATTAATTTGCTTTGCTGCTTCATTCTCAGAACCATGTCTTCTTGTTTTTTTAAAATTTATATCCCCAGAACTTAGCTCTATACTTTACATATGGTAAGTACTTAATAAATACTTTTTAATTCATTCATGGGGGCTACCTACATGAAATATTCAACTACATAAAAGATATTTGACATATATTTATTTTTATATAACGTAACAGAAATATGATGGAATATAAGCATGAATTATAGAATAGGATATGCATCTGCATAAGAATATATGGAAACCTGATGTTCACAAAATACGAAAAAGAAAAAAGAACAAACATCTATTAATCACTCCAAAGGTTTAACTGATGACTTCTTTTAACCAAATTTATTTTTATCGATGCCTTTTGTTTTTACATTACATTCATTTCTGAATATAATTCTCTCCTATCTAGAGAAACTTCTCTTATAACAAAGATTAAAAAGAAGT